CCCAGCCTCCGCCGCCGCCACCTCCTCCCATGTATTATCCCTCCAACAATCAGTACAACAACCAGCCCCCTCCTCCGCCGCCTCCTCCCTTGTCGCCGCCGCCTCCACCACCCCCAGTTTCGCCCCCTCCTCCCCCGGCAACTCAGAACAACGAAGAGCGGCGCTTCAAGGAGCCTTCCACGTCTGGGCGGCGTGAATACGAGCATTCCAATCATGGCATTGCTCACAAACAGCACAAGCATCAGCAGCAGCCTCCTTTGCCGGCGAAGAAGATGAATGGGCCTCCCGGTCGGCATGAGACCGACGAAGAGAAGAGGTTGAGGAAGAAGAGGGAGTTTGAGAAGCAGAGGCAAGAGGAAAAGCTTAGGCAGCAGCTCAAGGAGTCCCAGAACACTGTTCTTCAGAAGACTCACTTGTTGTCTTCTGGGAAGGGCCATGGTATGGTTGCCGGCTCTCGAATGGGAGAAAGGAGATCTACTCCCTTATTGAGTGCTGAGAGGGTTGAAAATAGGCTCAAGAAGCCCACAACATTTTTGTGTAAGCTCAAGTGAGTATGTTGATATCGTTTCATGTTTGAATTTGTTTCTTTCTGAGTTCCCTTGCATCATGTTAGTTTTTCGATTCAAGTCACATTTTATTGGTGTTGTTAATGATATATTATATTGTTGTTATTGGATGATGCATGATTTCGTCTAGTGTTTACTTCTCACACTAACACATTTTCTGTGTGTTTTCGTTTTAGATTCCGAAATGAACTTCCAGATCCAAGTGCTCAACCTAAGCTTATGTCCTTCAAGAAAGATAAAGATCAGTATGTAATCTTATTCTCACTTTACTGTATGTTGCTACGAAATATACGGATAAAGGTCAGTAAGTAATCTAATATGAATTTTATGATTGTTGTTCAGATATGCAAAATATACGATCACATCTCTGGAGAAAATGTACAAACCCAAGCTTTTTGTGGAGCCAGATCTAGGGATACCTCTGGACCTGCTTGATCTCAGTGTTTACAAGTAATGTCCTCATTTCCTTTTGTAAATTTGAATACTTGAATGGATTATGCTGACTGAGAAGGTCTCATGAACCGTTTTATACAGTCCTCCCAGTGTCAGACCACCTCTTGCTCCAGAAGATGAAGATTTGTTGCGAGATGATGAAGCTGCCACTCCTATAAAGAAAGATGGCATTAAAAGGAAAGAGAGGCCTACTGATAAAGGTGTAGCATGGCTTGTCAAAACCCAATATATATCTCCTCTAAGCATGGAATCAACAAAGCAGGTATTGACCATATATATTGATATGATGATGGATTATTACTCTCGCAACAAGCAATAACTTATGAACATGTTATTTCTAGTCTTTAACTGAGAAACAAGCCAAGGAGCTGAGAGAGATGAAGGGTGGCCGCAGTATTCTGGACAATCTTAACAATAGGTATGTACATACCACCCCATACAAAGTCAATTATAGGCAGATAAATTACTTTGTGAAAATAATTAATATCTTCTAAGCTCTTACTATAATTGAATTCTCTCTTGTAGTGAAAGACAAATCAGGGAAATTGAAGCATCGTTTGAAGCAGCTAAGTCTGATCCTGTCCATGCAACCAACAAAGATTTGTATCCTGTTGAGGTTATGCCATTGCTGCCTGATTTTGATAGGTATGGCATCATATATAATATCCATTAAAATATTACTCACCCTGGTGTAATTTATTATTTGGTGTTAAGTTTGTGATCTTCAAGCTTAATCTTTTGATACTAGATAATACAAACTGCTGGACATTATTCATATTTCAAAATAACTGAGCTACCTTCTACTGTCCTGCTTTACAGGTATGATGATCAGTATGTTGTTGCTGCATTTGATAATGCTCCCACAGCTGATTCAGAAATGTATACTAAGTTGGACAAATCTGTTCGTGATGCCTTTGAATCAAAGGTAAGCTATGTTGCAAGGATGAATGTATTAATAACTCAAGTTCCCTGTTTTTCAAAGGTTAAAAGCCACGATCAGGTTAAATGCTTATATGATAGTATTAAAAAGGAAATGTTTTGTCACAAACCGTTTGCAACCTTGCATACATTCCCTGTCATGTTAATTTTCTCTTGTAGTTTTGATTCAATGTGTTGGAGTTATCTACTTTTTAAAAGTTCAATTTAACTTTGTTGGTAGGATAAGGATTGGCTAAATTACCCGTGTCTTAATTACCTGATTGGTGGTCTTTTGATTCTGTGTATGTTTGAAAGTAGCAACTTACGAAATGCATTAAGTGTATGATTGGTGGTTTTGGTTTCTCTGTTGACCAATGGTGCTGATTGCTGAATATTTGTAGACTGATTCCTATCCATTTGTGTCTTTCAGGCACTTCTGAAAAGCTATGCTGCAACTACTTCGGATCCTGATAATCTTGATAAGTTTTTGGCATATATGGCCCCAGCACCAGGAGAGGTATGCATTTTAAATTTAAATATGGATTTCAATTTTGAAACATTAGTTGTTGTACATAGTTCTGTGATAACTCGTGGATTTATCTAAACTCTGTGATGGCAGCTGTCGAAGGATATATATGATGAAAATGAAGACGTCTCATACTCTTGGATTCGCGAGTATAATTGGGATGTATGTAGAAATATTTTGAACATTCAAAGAATATTGCTACCGTAAAATTACATCATGATTCAGTTTTAAATTTCCATAACTAATTTTAAGTCATTAACTTTTTAAATTTAAATTCCCCTTTCTGACACTATTTTGACTTTTTTTTGGTAACATTTTAATAGGTTCGGGGTGACGATGCAGATGACCCTACAACATTCTTAGTTTCATTTGATGAGTCAGAAGCTCGTTACTTGGTATATCCTGGGGCCAATATCTGTCTTTCTCAACTTATGGATTGGAACATAGTTTCTTGGTTACGCAGTGTCAATGTGTTAATTTTATAGTAAATTTCATATGCAGCCTCTTCCAACTAAACTTGTTTTAAGAAAAAAGAGGGCTAAAGAGGGAAGATCGGGTGATGATGTTGAGCAATGTCATGTACCTTCAAGAGTGACTGTAAGGCGGAGGTCTAGTGTTGCTGCGATTGAGGTGAAGGATTCTGGGGTACGACTCTGAATTTGTCTCAAGTTTGTCATTGCGATTGAATGTATAAAATATTTCTTATATACTATTATGCTTTCAACTTTCAAGGTTTATACAAGTTCAAAGGGCAATTCCTCAAAGAGAGGTGGTTTAGGAATGGATGATGGTCTCGAACACCGACATAGAGTTGCACCCGATCATGACAACGATCAGTATAGTGGAGCGGAAGATTACATGTCGGATTGATTATTTGATAAATACTGCTGCCTTAAAGCAAATTGGTCCAACGAAATGGTGGTTGGACTGGCCACAGATAGCCGAATTTGTAGTGGTCTTTGTGCTTCAATGAAGAATAACCAATGACAAATCCCATATTTTTTTTATGCCCATTTTAACTTAATGCACATACTTTCAGATTGTAGGCAGCTGTTAAATCAATATAGATTTTCTTCCCAATACCATTATATTAGAAAATATTGAAAAATAATGAATTGTAAAAAGCATGTCAGACTATATGGAATCCTGTCATTGCTGTGAATTTTTTTCGTGAACATCTTGTGCTTGTTAATGAAATTACTCTGGTCCCGGTTATCGTTGGCCATAATGTTGTGACATTCTGATTCTGATATGTTTGCATTAATTTACATTATGATGTTATGATAGTTTTTTAATAACGAAATTTAAGTTCCAATTGGTACATTGAGTGAGCTCAAACTATGACCGAGTTCGCTTACAGAGCACTAGTAAAATTTATTGGTACCTTTCAAGATGGCCAAGGTATCATCGTGCCATGAGTTGATGGTTGGTTTTTGGTATAGGAAATCACTCCACTACTTGGACGGTAAAGATGTTGTAAGATGTACGGGAATTAACTCTAATAATTTTAGGTAGCTATTTAGTATTACAAACACGTGAAAAGTTTATAAGTGGCGTTGGTATTTATATATGTGGAATTGAGAGCATGGTTATTATAAAAAATTAAGATAATTACATCTTATTTATTCGAATAGTAAAAACTGTATCATTAGGAGAAATGGAAATAGTGAATATAAATTATTAAGTTCTATTTGGATGATCAAAATTATGTGTGCCTGAGCATGACTTAAATTTTATTTTAACAGTAAAATTTGATTATTGTAAAAAATAAAAGTAAAAAATATGGATTATTAAATTTTGTAAGAAATATAATTAAGATTAAAAAGTAATCCCTTAAATATTGGAAAAACCTTCATATTAATTCCTATATATTAATACAAGGCTATATTACTAAAAAAATATTTTTAAAATCATATCAATCATCAAACCGATTAAAATATTGATTAAAAGTTTAGTAATTTAATCATAATTAAATCATATAGTTAAACTAGTATTAATAAAATAATATTAATATTTAAATAATACATAAAATAATATTACATAATCACAATATCATAATTTTATAATGTTAAAATTAAAATAAAACATTGTTTTATATTTTTATTTTTTAAAGTGTATGTACAAGTTTAAATATAATATTTAAGTTTAAATTCTAATAAAATTCTATATATATATATGAGGAGGGTTACAATAACATTGACATTGGCTTTAAATTTTTGTATCTTAAAATTATTCGAGATGAATGAATGGATGAAGTTTGTTGAGATTTCCGTTGAACTACTTTTGTTATCACTTTAAATCATTTTTGTTCTATCAACGGTCTCAAACACGACAAGTATACCGGCCGTTCAAGTAGTAAAATTATCGTATCTACAGGGATTAGTAGGTAAAAAAAGTATTTATTGACTATTCGTGACTAACGAATAATTCCAATTTTGTAGTTTGTCATGTAAATGTGAATTGAAGAGTATGACTATTGGAATGTTAAACTATAAAAATATTGGTTTGTGTGTGGAAAAGGGGTAGAAATGGTATTATGATTTTGTGAAATTGTGGGGTCAGATATTACCGAACATCACACTAATGAATCCTTAATCTCTTGTTATATCTATTGCTTAGTCAACCCATAAGTTTACTCAAACCTAATCCCTTAGAGCAAGAGCCTAGGTGCGGATAATGAATATCAATTTCTTGAGTATCCAATACCTACACCCGCATTACGGGTTAGGGTTTAAGACTACTAATGGGTCAAGCTCCATTCTTAGATACATTTCCCACTAGGCATTTGTTTCAGAGCTAGTTTCAAAGGTTATTTTCCAATACCCAATGGAACCTATATCATGCAAGGAGAATCAATCCAAAGCAAGCATTAAGAATAGAAACATATACAACAATGAATAAAACATGTATATATATCATTAAAACGTAAGGATTACATAGAGTTCGTTGGTTACATCTAACCCCACAAAACAATGGGTAGAACCACTCAAAACAATGAGGGTAAAGCAAAAATAGAGATGGAAGAGAGAATGAAGAACCGAAGGAAAGACCCACACACCAACGGTCCCAAGCTCTGGGAATCCCTTCCTCAGCTCCTAAAACGCGTCCAATGTGCGAATGAGGAGAAAACCCTTGAAGTTTCTTCAAATACGAGCTTGGGGAGTCAGATTAGGGTTACACGCGCGACGCATAAGTCTTTGCGCCTGGCGCAGGGCCTTCTAGGAAGGTCAAGTACTCTCTGTCTCAGGACACGCCCGACGCAATTCCTTTTACGCCCGGCGTAATGTCTTCCAGAGAGTTTGAGATACTCTTTGTCTCGATCACGCTCGGCGAGGGTAGTCTCGCGCCCGGCGTAGCTATGACTTGCAGAGGTGAGACACTTTGTTTTACTCAAGCCCGGCGCGGGTAATCTTGCGCCCGGCGCAGTCACTCTTCCCTGCTCTTTAGCTCCTTAATTTTCCAATTCTATAGATCTTCTATCCTCAACTCTCTAGCTCAACACGTGCACAAAAATGAGGTGTATTATGGTATTGTTAGCTAAATTTTGGGTTAGCTATATCTGCACAAAAAAAGAATCAAAAAGAGAACAATTATCTTGCAATGGTGTAAAGGATGAGTGGAATTGTTCAATAATTCTTGTCCAAAAAGAAGTATAATTGAGACTTAACAACTCCCCCAAACTTAGAACCTTGCTTGCCCTCAAGCAACAGGTAATTAATCTAGTAGATAACAAGCAATGCATGTGTGTCAAATTCCTACATCCTAGTTCACTTGTATTTTCTTTTTAGCAAGCATGAACCTTAGATGAACTTTCAGTCATAATTATTGCAATGGAACATGATACGGTGCAAACAAAGGTTTCAGAAGAGATCAAAGAGCTGAGAAAAGTTAATGACTAACTATGAATGCATCCTCACTAGGAAAGTGTTTCTCTCTATTAGGGATGGCAAACATACCCGTACCCGCGGGTAATACCCGAACCCGTCCCGACTTTGATGGGAAATACCCGGTTTGACCGGGTACGGGTACGGGTACGGGTAAAACCCGATATATTAAATCGGGTACGGGTACGGGTACGGGTATGTACTTACCCGCCCCGTACCCGTCCCCGTTCTCATTTTTAATTTAATACTCACTTTTAATTTAATTATATTAAAAAAAATTAAATTTTTTTTATGTGTAATTATTTATTATAATATAAGATAAAAAATAACTTAATTATAATTATAATATAATAAAAAAAATTTAAAAATATTTTTTTTTTACAAAAAATAAAAAAATAAAAAAATTGACGGGTACGGGTATACCCGATACCCAACGGGGACGGGGATGGGGATAAAAATCTAAACCAGACGGGTATGGGGACGGGGATGGATTTAACTCGCGGGGACGGGGGCGGG